CCCACACACACACATACTGCTCACAGGGAGTAACTCGCTCAGCACAGCTACCATTTAGAGAACACCTGGTATTTTTTTCACTCTATGCAAGGTATTCTCAAAAGCCTCCCCTCTCCACTTCTTCAAATTGCCCTCCTTGCATGTGGCCCATTGGGGGAGCAAAGTAACAGGTAGGCAGCTATGTAGTGAACATGTAGTGAACATTACAGAAAACATTCTAGCAGCTATGCTGCCCTGCACTGCCCCTATCTTATTTTGTGTTAAATAAGCCCTTGTGTTGACTACTTAGGTTATGTTATTTAGGAGGCATTTGGCAAGGGCAAAAACTGTACTAAGTGTGTACTAAGATCCTCCTTTTCTGCCAGCCTAAAGAAACCTAAAAGACTAGCAATAAATAAATGAATAAATAAACGGGCCATTTTATTTTAGGTCTGAATGTTCTGCAATAAAATCTTGTCTCTAACAGTATTTTCAAAATAGGTCTATAAGCCTTGCAGCTTTTAAATACTGTACATGTTTGCATATTTATTATATCTGTATTCTGTACAATTATAGGATAATATGTAGTAGCTCATATCTGAATATTGAAGTGCAATTACTGGAAAAAATGGAAAATGTAAAAACCAATGTTTCTCCAATAGCTTTGGGAATAACTATACAATTTTTAGACTTATTTAACACATTAAATCTAACGGCTTCTAAAGTATTACTAAACACACACACATACAATATATTTAGTCAAGATTTAAATATATTTACTGTCTTCCTTCTTTTTACAAGACCTTTTTTTCTGAATATTTAAAACTCAAAATCGTAAATGCCAGTTTAGGCTCTTTCCTGAAAGAATTTCACAGTAATAAATGTTAAACAGCATGCAATAATCCGCAAATGACTTGGATTTTTTTAAGATCTTCCAATGAACTATTTATTCCAAGTCTTACAAAAAAAAGTGCAAGCAGTCCATGTGGAAAATTAGCCTACAATAAAAATCACAGCAAACTCTTCCCTGACAACATGGCCTACTTTACTTTTGATATTCTTCAGTTATTTCCCTGCAGCAACTGCCCCCCGAGCCAGCTTACAATAATCATAAAAACTTTACTCGGCTCTCTAGAGCAACTGAGAACAACAGAATTAAAGCATCTATTTTACAACACTGTATTATTAAGTCACTAAAAGGTTCGATCGACCCAAAGGTTTTATGGAGAAAGAAGGAAAAGACGTAATTCCGCTCCTAGGAAACTATATCAACTTTTGGATAAGTAATAGGAACAATGCATAACATTTTACTGAAGAAGAAAAAAAGACAGCTTATAAATGAAACATTTATAGGTAGGAGTACAAAAAGTGCTTGTAAAACAGTGTTCAGGGTCTTTTCACTGCTCCATTTGTTGGAGATATGCAGAAATCACAGAAAAAAAACATTTAACAAAATATGCATTTCTGTACTGCAGTCTTTGCTAACTGCATGCTAAAAGACTTTGTATCCTTAAAGAAAAAAGTATGGTCCTATATAAAAGTTTATTGGTTTAAAGCAGTTTAAATCAATGAATATGTACATATATATATATATATATAATGGTGTGTTTAGCAGACCAAAAGGGAGGAAATCAGAGAAGTTAATTGTTAGGATTTACATACACTTTAAAAGAAACCACTGACGGCCACCACTGCTAAAAGCTTATCTGAATGTGCTAATTGCCTTGCTGTCATAATGACAGTCTTTCTTCAATGCTACATATCACCAGAAGAAGTATACAGATACCGTATTTGCTGGCGTATAAGGCGACTGGGCGTATAAGACGACACCCTAATTTTACAGTTAAAACATAGGTTCTGGGCTATACTCGTCGTATAAGATGAGTATAGCCCAAAATAATGTTTAAATACACCCACTAATCTGTCAGCCCGCTGGATGTGCGGTAATACTGTATGTACGGTAGCTTCGGCTACATACAGTATACCGTGCTGAGCCAATCACGGCAAACAATGTATTCTATTAATGAATACAAAGTCTGCTCAAATTGGCAGAGGTTGTGTACATCGCTCGCCGTGATTTTCTCAGCGCGGTATATTGTATGTAGCCGAAGCTACCGTACATACAGTATTACCGCACATCCAGCAGGCTGACAGATTAGATTGTATACACGGCGTATAAGACGACCCCCGATTTTTGGGGGATGTTTTTAAGTATAAAAAGTCGTCTTATACACCGGCAAATACGGTAATAGCATTTTGAATGACTTTTTAAGCTCTGGGTTCAATTTCTGTTTAAACCTACAAACTTTCTTACCGGCCAAAATATTTTAATTCTGTTTAGCCAATACTCCTGTGAGACAGCATAACAAAGTAGGTAACCTCCCTTTTCTATACAACAGTTAAGTAATACAGATTGGTCTTTGCCCAGCTCCCGTTAACTGATTGAACAGCGAGGAGCAACAGTACATGGATTAAGTGATCCTTCTGTTCTATCCTCCTG